TTGACTGGGCATTATTTAGAGCTGAACGATTTAAGGAACATGTCTAGTTGCAACCAATATTGCAAGTGCAATTTAAATTCTTTTATTTTTATTAAGTAAACAATTTTAAACCAGTTACAATCATACAAAGCCTTCTCACAAATATATCTTGCTTTTATGTGTAATCAGATAAAATAACTGACTTTATGTTTGGGTTAAACCACTCAATCAGAGAAATTATATTCTGTTCTTATCATCTATGTAGTATTCAAAATATCAATATTTAAAATACATGTACTAACAACTACAGACTTTGCTACTTATGGTAATAATTATGTGCAGTTAGTTTAATGAACTGAGATCAGAGACTGCTGGATAGTGGTGTGCCAGCAAACGAGTTGGCTCTATGAGCCAGATTTCTTATGTGAACAATGTTGTTGTTGCTGCTGCTAATACACTACAGAATTTTTTTTTTGCCATACTGGTCGGTCATAAGCACTCTATGTACTGATTGTATGTTGCATTGATAGATGTGACCAATCAGGTGTGATGACAGACAGGGATCATGCCATCAGGTTAAAAGCGGGAGGGGTGGGCTGACGAGAAGAGCGTGCGAACAGCAGAAGATGAGTGACACCTGCAAACGATATAGCATTTGGATGCATTTTAATAATGAATGTAGAATTTGTAAATCAAAATCATTTCGAGCAGATTTTACTAACAATCTTCACAGGCATAGTAGAGCTGTACATCCAACATAGTGGGGGATGTTTGTACAGTAATGATTTTATACCAAACATGATGTAAAATATGTATTCTGGAATTTCCAAGGGTTAGTATAATTACACTGAATAATTTAAGTGATGTAGGTGCACACATATACTAATCATAGGTTAAAACACTGCTACATTTGGCTGAATAATAAAAGCCAGAAGTAGTACTAAGAAGCAGTACTTTGCACAGTGTTGGTCTTTAGAGGAGAGAGGGGCTGCACTCCTCTCTCACATTTGCACATAGCTGGGCAGAGGATGTGAAGGATCACTCTATAATGCAACAATCAGCCAGTAACGGAGACTGTATGAGCAGTTTATCAAACAGCTGTTGAACAAGCAGAACGCAAATTTGCAGAAATGTGTCAGCTTTACCACTTTGCCCGTGGTCCACTCTCTGAACTCTCCCTTTTATCCCTAAACCAATGAGTGAATGTCTGTCATGTCTATTTTTTCCTTCTTAAATATAACTTTCAAACTAAGAATGATATTAGCATCATTCCAAATGCCAGCAGTAGGTTTTCATGGTCAAGCAATTATATTGTTACAGGCAAACTGTCATGCAATATTGCTTTTATAGCATTACAGGGAAACTGAGCTGTACCTTGGTGGAGGTTGCACTCTCTAAGTGCTGTCTAGTCAAACTATTTTATAGTTAGATTCTCACAGCATTTGGTGAAGGTTAGAAAAGGTTCATAGTCTGGTTTGATAGAGAAGACGTCCACAGTGACTTCAGACACAAAATGTTTACCATTTAACCACAACTGCCATCTATAGCTAACTTTAACCAAGGTGAATTGTCACCTAAACTAGAGATGGTAGTCAGGATGTGAAGCCTGGTCTCTGGTGTCACAGTCCTGTACTTTGTATACTTGTCATCCATGAGGAACAAACACCTCCTAGTGCCTCCAGTGCACTTCATAAATTTAGAGCTTCATTTAAAAAAAATAAAATAAAATAAAAAGTTGCCTTTGAGCATAATCTAGTCAGCAATTATGTTTCTCACCATAGCAGAAGTGGGAATAATGGTAATTTCCAGAAGACAAGGCTGGATTCAGTGGTATACGATGAATGCTTACACAACAGTATGCTTCTGACAATGTTTTCATGCCTGTCAGACACCTGTCTCAAACAGACTGGTGAAGAGGGTGGAGCTATTTTGGATGCCAGTGATTCCAAAAGTAAAAGTCCCATTCATTTTTGGATAGATGAATCATTACTTGTGCTTAGATGGGCATGAAACTCTGCTGGCTAAATCATTAGTACAAAAGATTTTTTCATTTTAAAGAAAGGTACAAAGCTTCTGTTCATAAAAACTTTATGGGAGAAATTAACATCAGCAAGAACATCCAATCAATGAGCTTAAAATTCTGATACATTCACCACTAAGGGCAAGTGAAAGATCACGATTAGTGTTAAGAAAATGAACCATACAACCTGCTGCCTAATTGCCTTCACTAGAATTCTTGTATGACTCGTTCAAAGAATTAACTTTATGTACAGTAGCTACAGCTAAGTAACTTTGCGGTTGCCAGTTGTCATTAAGCCCGAGGACGCTCTTTTCACCACCTACAGCTTGTAACAACACAGTTAATAAGAAAAAACAAGTTCTTGTGATTTGAAAATCACTCAAATGGTATTCTAAAAATGATTAATCGTTCAGCTCTAATAATGTTCATTCTAGTAGAACAGTAGCAGCATTTCCTGCTTTAACTTTGTATAACCCTGGTGTCCAGTAAGTAATCACTATCCAGTAAAAGGGCCATATGGGCATGTCAGGTCAAGAGTGGGATGGTTGCTATGCAGACACCAGTGGTGTGGATAATAAACCCAGCCACTTTTGACTCAACAGGAACACATAGAACTGTCAGATATGTGGTGAGAAATAGCAGAAAGGGGGCCCTGGAAGCTGTGTGGCCCCTGGGGTCTAATGAAGGGGACATCAGCAGCTTTCAGAGGGCTATGCAATACTGAGACCTGCCATGACTTCCCTCCACAGCTGGCTGACAGCTAGATGAATCCAGCGCCACATCGCCGTGAAACCAGGGTGTCATGACTGATTTCGGGGGTTCATTGTGAAAAATAATAAGACTTTATTATATTTTCACAATGTCTGGATTGAGAGGATTTTTTTATAGTAGCAACCATAAAAAGAACACAGTCATCTATTGGCGGTCTTCATAGTTCAGTCACCGTATCGAACTGAAGGTTGGTGGTACCAAATGCTCCAGATGCTTCCACCTTTTGTCCATTTTGCCCCTTTAAAGCAGAACTAATGAAATAAAAACAAACTCAGATCACAAGGACATCCGACCTCCACTGCATTTTCTTACAGGGAACAGGTACTTAGCAGTGTTACACTGTTTTCATCATGGTACATTATCATCAGGGTTATCTACTGTAAGCGTGGGGTGGTAGAACCATTTTTGACAGTAAGCAGGAATTGTTTAAAAACTGATTATATTATGTGACTTATATGGTCCAGTATTTTTGGAGCATGCTTGTTGGCATAACTGTACATTACATAAAATCCATGGTGTGGAGCTTTGTCCTGTCTTACTAATTCTTTCCTCTCCCAGTCTTCCTGGACTACCAGGCACTGGGGCTGCAGTCACAGTGTTCGCTTGTTGAGAGTCAGTGGGTGGTCGGGATCATGTCACTCCTCCATGGTCAACCTTTTACAGTTAGTGACAAATTGGGCTTTGGTGCACCAGAGGAGGACTTACAGGAGACAGATAACTTTTTTTTCTCCTTTTCCAAAAGAGAACAAAGGTCTCAAATTAAAAAAGAAACTATTAGTGTTTCTTACAGTATCATATTTATTTAATAGGACTGAGTTAATCATGAGCCAATCACACCTATGTATAATAAACTGTACTGAAAAAAACCTTACACACAACTATATTCTCACTTGCCTTGTGAGGCATATGATAACAGTTTTCTTTTTTCTTTTTTCTTTTATTAAAGGAAATAAGCCATCTGCGGTAGCTGCTGTGGGACTACACTGGACGGTGACCACTGAACCAAATTGAAGCAAACTGCCATGCTGTTTGGTTGATAATAAATAGCCTGTTTGTCCTTACCCTGACTGTAACTTGGAAAAAATCCTCAGAATGGACTTTAAAGCTCGTCATTTCCTAGAGCCTGTCCCTCAGCCTTTCCTCCCTAGCTGAGTTGAGGTGACAGCCACAGGAGTGGACCCTCAGTGATAGGAAACCTGCTTCTTTACCTTTTCTGTTATTGCTGGGAAAAAAGGTTTGGCCCTGTACAACTGTTCCAGTGTTATATAGGTGTTTGCAGCTTTTGACAAAAAGCAAACTTCCTATTTCCTCACAGAAATGGAGAGAAAGGGCAGGCAACAGGCTCAATTATTCAGCTGCGAGCTGCTGTGGTGGTTTTGTGGAGAAACAGGTCCTCAGTGCTCCTCTGGATCCTGACAGAGCTGATTCACAGCAGCATTCCCACACAGGTGCTACTCAGGTCATTTCTTAAGTCTATAATGTTATGCTCCAAATAGGGAACCTTTATTTCCAAGCTCTCTATGGTTTTACTTTCTGAAAATTAGAAACAACATCAAGATTTCACTTTGAGAATTACTTTTGATGAAATTATGTAATTTCCTGTCCTGTATTGATGATGCCCCTCAATCTGTCACATGAGCTCTCTACATGAGTGCCCTCATGTATAGTATAAATGGCCATTCTGCTGTGGGCTTCATGCTGTACTGTGGCCATGGTTTTGTGACGACTGTTCTCTGCTGTCGTTTTTCATACATATCTAATAAAACATGCCTGCTTGAAATCATACCCTCAGGCAGGACAGAATACTTCAACATTAACTGTGTGACACTTATTTAATAACAGAAGCCAAACTTTTCAAATGTTAAATGTTGCCTAGTAAAATACAGTGTAGATTTCTGATCAGAGATGAAGTAAACAAAACAGGACAGGACTAGACATTTCTTTTTCTTTTTTTTTTTTGATACCTGACAGTTTGAGATACTGTAAACTATGGAAATGTTGGTTGATATCAAAACAAATGCTAAGTTTGATAATCAACTATAAATGACTTCTTCAGATTTCCATGTTATGATATCCATATGTGTATGTTTCTGTCATGATGTGTGGCTTCTTCCAAATCTCCACCTTGCACCTGTTTCAGTCTCTCAAGCTTATCAAATGTCAGTTGTCCAGCCACCAGTGACTGCAGAACAGATACCTGTGCGTAAACATGTTAAGATGAGTGCTTTACCTGAACGCAGCTGCTTTATGCGCCCATTACTGCTGCTGATGTCCACAGGCAGGAAGTCTTTGAACCAATAGATCTCTGGGTCGGGGTTACCGCTGGCTGCACACAGCATTGTAGCAGTGCGCGTTTTCTCCACAACCTTCAGCTGGGGCCCCATGTCAATTGTGGGAAAGCCATGAGGGATCTGGTCCTCTGTGACAAAGACAGAGACAAAGACACACAGGCACTCAGAGCTGGACATGATAAATGGATGAGCAAGGGCAATGCAATTTCATCCGAAGAGAAATGCCTTCACACAGAGAAAGGCTCCTAACACTCCTGCCATGATCGCAGAATCTGAAACACTTATGCTGCATTTCCCCGATCAGAACCTAACAAGGGGTATACCCTGTACTTCCCTTGATTATCACTGAGTGTAACCTCTGGGGTTGACACAGACCATCCTGCAAGTAGCTGCATGTTTAAAGATGGTGCTTGTAATGCTAATGCTTGAGGTGTGAAGACGAGGACATTTAACCAATCATTGGTGACAATGCAACACATTTCAGTAGGTTCCTCTAATTGAAAATCGCCTTTAGTGTGGCTGATTGCCAGTTCTGCTAAATAATGGACGAAACATAATGAAATCATGTGCTGAAAATCCTACTCTACATCTCTGTCCATGAGTCCAGACACAGCAAAAGCCAGAGCTTTACACACCACTTCAACCCTCTCTCATACATTATACATGATTTATTTGTAAGTATCACATCCAATAGGCAAGGGCGCAGATTCATTGTAGGAGTATTAATATTAAAAAAACACTGTAAAACATTTCACGTTTAAATTGTGTATTCCACTATGTATCTGCAGTGTACTGTGCCTGCATTGTGTGTCTCTACTGTTCTGCTTGTGACTTTGGCCTTTTCCCAAACCAGTGCCTGGCCCTTGAAAAACTATGCCTCTGTATGAATTCCCTCCCAGCTGTTGAAGACTCCCCAAATTAAGAGCAGGTTATAAACCAGCTGTGGGATGCTAAAGCTGGAGAGTTTGATTCAAACCTCTAAGTGTATTCTGAGTATTAGGATAGAGACATACCAAACTCATGGTCACTCTCCCAGTGTGCACCACACCACTGGCATTGGTCTGTCCCTGTCAGCGGCTTTTTGGCCGATTCAACCTTTTGAATTGGTGTTGACGGTCAGGCCTCATCAGTGGGAGAGAGAGAGAGACCACTCTGATTCGCTGTTCCGTTTAGCAAATCAATGCATGAGAAGAGAACTGTTCCGAGTAAGTCCCTTCAGCTTGTCGCTGAAGTAGCTATGATTTCACCCATTTAGTGCAGTTTCTCTTTGTTTTTCACCTCCACAACCTCCTTTCTTCTTTCACAACCAAAAAACCAAGGGCAGAGAACGGCAGTGTCATTTGCAACTTCTTATCAGACATATTCTCAGTTAGAAGTAGCTATAAATGGCAGCTGTTCTGAACGAGAGTTGCTCTGTTTACACCTTGTATTTCCTCTGTCTAGCTCTTCTTCTTTCCCTTTCTGAATGGCAAATACAGATACCGCCACCTGCTAGTAGGAGTAGTTATTTCTGTCACGCAGTCACAGAATGTACATGCTAGTCAACATTTGGCTGTAGTGCGTGCGGTGTGTTCAAGTGTCACTTTTTCAACCCAACTGGCCCAGACAAAGGCGACAGGAGGCGACGCAATAGTCGGCCTTCATGGCAGTCAGTTCTTTCATGTTGGCTTGGCGTGTCTCTGTCTTAGGTGTGGCACACCTTTCAGGTCACAGTCTCAGCAGCAAGCACATACAGCTATAGTAAGTCCAGAGGAAAAAACATGATTTACCACTTAAGGTAACTCCAAATCCAACTGTTGGGTTGATGCCATGAAATTAGGTACAAATAGCAATCTGTAGCCTGCAGGGATTTTACAGTTCATTGATGGACAAGATTTTGCATTTATGTTGTACTGCAGCAGTTTAATGGGAAATGATGTCATCTCTCTTGCTGACCTTGTAGACCAGAGGGGGAGACTGACCACCCTGAAAAATGATCACTGCCATTCTTATCAGATAGGCAACAACAAACTCAGCAACAGCTGTCTTACAATGGAGTGGTGTATGGTGGATGTATTTTTGTAGGCCAGCCCAGAAGTTAACATCACCCTGGCTCCTTTGACAAAAAGCCAGTGGGGTTTATCTATAGGCGTTTGGATTATTGCAGAAGATAAGCTCTGTGACAAACAAAAGTTTGACAATCACAAATGAACACCATCACTGTAATTTTTGAAGCCCAAATACAATCGTCAGAAGTAAAAAGCTGTTGTTAGACTATATACAAACTACACCATGGTCCCAGGATTTCAGCATCACCACCACAACTTCCAACTTGTAATTTGATTTAGCAAGCTTACCTCTTTTACTAACTCTATTCCTCTTAGCATGATCTGATCTAACTAGTGACTATGGCTATGTCAGTTAGTTAGAATAGTTTGCAACCTCTGTTAGCAACTACTTGTTAGCATTTTTAAGACACAAACGCTTTAAAAATCAGTAGTGGGGTATTTACCAACATGTTTTGGAAAATAAAATGTGAAAATGTATTAACCTTGTGTTAACCACACATCTTATTTCAGGTGTTAAACCAAAAACCCATTCAAAAAATCTTTGACTGGGAACTGGATGCTGGATTTTAAGATTCACTACTACAGTTCTAGGGTTGGAAGGTGTTACTTTCAAATTGTATTCCGATACAATTACAAAATACCTGTTAAAAATGTATTTACTAGCTTAATCCAAATATCACAATATTAAAGTAATTTAATGTGATTACTTTCCATTACTTTTGGATTACCTCAATGCAAAGTATGCAAACAAAGACAAGAGAAAAGAAATATCAATAAGATGGCTTTGGCTTAAGTGTTTGACATAAGTAAGACAACAGAGCAATGTAAGCCTGACAAATAGGGAAACCAAGATTTCTAGTATCATCAGTGTGTCCTCTGCTCAGTGTATCTTTTTAAGGAAAAACCTGCTTTTCATTAAGCAAATTCAGGCAGTGGGCCTACCGACTACCAGTTAAAGTTCTGGACGACAGTTTACAAAGCAAACATAAAAGAAGGTCCTGTGGCAAGGCGGACAGAGAGGTCTTTGTTTTAGTACATGGGTTAAGAACATCCTAAGATCAGCCACAGTATTCTTAACACATCACTTTATTGTTTGTCCAGCTTTTCATTTCTTTCTTATGTGTGAACGGCAGCCATTTAGATTGAGAGCAGCAGTGTTATTTATGCTTATTTAATTTAAATGTAGGCTACTTTGTGACATATGCTATTCACACTTCATATGCCTTCCTCTGTGGTTATGGTTAGGGTAAAGTTAGATTCAGGTTCGAGGAAACATCTCGACGAGGAAACAAATTGTGACAGATGATTGGCTACAGCTTCACTTGAGACCAGAGTGGTGATGTGAGACTCATGAAGTGTTGTAACGTGTGAGCATGTGCATGGTAGGATATTGTCAGGCTTGCCCGGCTGCACCTGCATCTCTCGTTTCCCTCTCTCACTTTGCAGCCACGTCTCACTCCTCAGGACACACATTCCACTCAATCACTGATTTACTCCAGCTGCGCCCACTTTATATCCAGTTCACGCGCCTCTCCCTTGCCAGTTTGTTCTCTACTTTCAGGGAAACTAGTCACGCTACTTATTTCCCATTCCTTGTTCATCTTAGTGCGTATTGTACATTTTAGTTTTTGTTTCTATGTTTCCTCCTGGACTGTTTTATCTGTCAGTTGTTAGACCCTCGCTACACCCAGCTAGTGATGGCCAATGAGGCTTTGTTGAAGCTTCGACACAGCGTTCACACAGATGGTTCATTACTCGAGGCCTCAATGACACAGTGATCCAGTAGGACATCTAGTGGTCAAGAAATTGAAGTGCAGTCAAGACGTGTCGCTTATTCTTTGTTACTACGTACTTACGTATGCGCTGCGCAGAGTGGCAGCAAGTTACAGCAACTGTGTCCTCTTTGTGTTCTTTCCCATGTTTCTATGAACTTCTGTTCTTATGTGTCTGTTCTTATGGTGTTAGGTTGTTCTCTATTGCTGCTGTAACACAGAAATTTCTCCACTGTGGGATCAATAAAGTACCTACCTACCTACCTTATTGGTTCATGGATTGTTTGGGATTTGATTCGCCATGCATATTCCTGTGGACGTAGTGGATTCCTACACTACATGGTTGCATTTCAAGCTGACACAATAAAATATAAAACATCTTGAAACATGTTGAAGACCATGTTTCTTATTTGGCATGTCTGATTGCAACCCTATATACTCCTCACTTATATTTTGTGTTATGAAAATATTTAAATGGTGCTGCTACAGTCATGAGATGTGCTCTACAAATTCAGACAGATGAATGAGACTGGTGCAAATACAGATTATAGCATGGACTTCAGCAAAGTTTGTTTTGGGGTTCATTGGTAAAGAGGTTCATGGGTATGTGGGTAAAGAGGGTGTGCTTGAAGAAGAGGGAAGTGGGTGTGCTTGTGTAATTGTTTATGAGTTTTTATTGAGAAATAACAGTATATCCACTGTTTTCGGACACAAGCAGTTTCTCCTTTTACAGACTATTTACCCAGCCTTGGAAAAAACCCATTCACATGGCACAGATGAGGCTGGGGTACACAGGAAATCCTTGGATAATTCATAGAGGCTTGGGTAACTATATATGCAATATAATTATATACTGTATATCTTATATATATAGGTAATATATCTATATCTTATCTATATCTAACGTGATTTAGGACTATCTATGTAACCATATCTAGTGTTATCTAACTATGTAACTATTATCTATTTCTCTATGTAACTTACTATCCATTGATCTATCTCTCTATCTACAGTGATTCTCCACTAAATACACAATCTGCTACAACAGTACTAACTCTCAAAGCAACTAACGGCAACAACAGCAACAAACCGACTTGCTCTGCAAAGTCAAATTCAAATGAACACCACTAAATAGGGATATCCTGTCTCTGAACACACTCGATCCAAAGCGATTCACATGACAAACCGAACCAATCAGCCGATTCACCTGACGTCCAACAAACCCAACTGCTTTGGACGTCACTCAAGTGATTCAAACATCACTAGTCATGTGACCGAAACATGCCTTGGCACAGTGGTTCGAAACAA